GCACAGTTTTAGATAGATTAGATATTTCTGTTTGTTCTCAGATTTGCAATTATGATAATGATTTATGGGTGTCTTGAAGAATATCAGGTCAAAGCACTGTACCATCTTAATGCTAGCAGGTTTAACTATAATATTATATTTGACAGAAGTTAATGAAGCATTTGTGGAAAGTCAAGCAAAGCGCTTGGTCAGAAATATACCAAATCTATTGAATACATAAAACTGTAATGCCAGAGATAAACAGCTGGAAAAAACCCCAAGCATAAAAGTTGCATCATTCATTCATAATATCTTTGAAATGTTTACATCAATAAATGAACGCGCTCCATCCCGACAGCACTGCACATCCTGGAGAAAACTGTTCAGTGTGAAATGTGCTGTGCAGGACATCAATAGATTCCTGCCACAGTGGTAATATTGTATAACACAGAAATGGCAGACCGTGCTTAAATACAGCAAGCATACCATCACTCATGCACATTAGAATTCCCCACCACCTTCTCTCAAGACGACGGAAATCCATACACCGCTGTTCGTCTAATTGCTCTGCTTGATGTGATGATCCCTCTGACTGCCGTGTGAGGCTGATGACGCTCAGCTGCTGCGAACGCGTGAATGAAGGTTTAGAACAGCGAAGCAAGATCTCAGGCTCCTAACCCTAAGTGGGCAGTGTGAAATAGCTGTGATTTTATGTTTGACTTAAGCGTTTTGCAGCGGGTATATGCAATTGCATGTGGACACAGAGAAGTGAGTGAGGTAAATGTATGTATTTATTTGCTTGGAGGATAAGCCCCAAGAGAGTGGGCGAAAAATCTCAACAAAGGGGAACCGTAGAACCGCCGACTCCCCAGGGAATCAGGCATAAACGGTGTATGGATGGACAATGCTAACCCGCTAGCTCAATGAAGCCTAATAGGGATGTGCTCCAACTCTCTTTGACTCCCATTGACTTACATTGAAAAGCCGCTCAGTCCTGGATCTATACAGCCTGAATCCTGAATCTATAGCCTGTCCATCCGTGGGAGAGGATCCATCTCTTACTGTGGGCCTCCCGAGATTTCTGACTTCAACCAACTAGATTTGTTCCTTGCTGATGCAGGAAAGTCTAAGGGCTTTGATGATCCAGGACATTTAATGACAATGATGCATTTATCAATATTTATGGACATTGGTCATCCCGCTCCCTATGGACCTATGGCTCCTATGTGTTTGTTTTGATTGTGTTTCCCCTTTGGACTGTGACATTTTGTATTCATATTTGCATTTTTGTTTCCGCCACCGATTTATGTGATACGAATTGTTTTACTCACACTTACCCCAAGCGCATACATACTTCCACCCGTCCATCTTTCTTACCTACAGTACAAGGGACAATTCACTCAAATAAAAATAAGAATAATAAAAAATATATATGCATATGAGAAAAACTAAAACAAAACAAAAACAGTGACAACTTCCGTCCCTTTCCCAGGTGTCTATGTTACAGTAAATCAGTTACATTACTTATTGTACTTTATGAAATATTTCCCCATATAGTTTCCACACCTTCCAGCTGTTTCACTTATGTCTTAAATTTTCTCCACCAGTTGTTGCCACGCCATCTTTGCTGCCATCCTCCTCCCATCCTCCTCCCATCCTCCTCCCCACTGACAGATCCTGGTTGTAATGTCCCTGTTTGATTCTCTTATCTGCTGTTGAAATATCGAGAGCTTTGTAAAGTCCTCCGAGACGGCCGTTTTTGTGATTCAGTGCTATCTCTGGAACTATTGGTGTCGCACTCAACATTTTGGTTGTAAAAAATCTGAGGTTTAGTGTTCTGCGCTGTCTTGGTGTTGACTCCTTCTGCAGTCTATGGTTTCAGATTAAGATGAAGAGATTCTTTATTCCTCCCACAGTGGGGAAATTTCAGTGCTGCATCATCGAAATGAACAATAACTCTGTACTAAAATAGAATGAAATTGAATATATAACTTAAGAAACATCACAACAACATAAGAAAAGAAGCATGATTGTGTCCATGAAAGAGACAAAGGGACAATAGGTGAATAGCAATGAACAGACTACATAAGGCAAAAGTCAAAAATGCAAAGTCAGAGAGACCAGAGCTCTTATTTTGCGGATTCATCTAACTCGTGATGTGAAACGAGTTAAAGACAGTTATGGTAAAGACGCTAGTACAACACAAATGGACACAATGGACATAAATAAGACTTTTATTTATTTATTGGAGAGTACAGAGGGAAAATAAATTGATAATAAATAGAACTATTAGATGAAAATGCTTTTTTGGGAAGAAAGGTCTGAAGAAGTCTTTGAAAATAATGTCCATAAAAAGGTCTGCTAACACAATCCAAGCACAACAATAACATGTTTTTTGGAGATATTTAGATCGAGACTCTATAAATACATTATCATTTTGCACCCACCATTTTTCCTTGATAAAAGTAGACCAGCTTCTCTCTTTGACATAACTCACATTATAGTTTATTTTTCATGGCAGGTTCTAAAGTGAAATCAGCAAGTGCGACCTCATGAGCTGCTACTTCCAGGTGACAGCAATTTTGTATCTTTTTCCTCCTAAACTCATCCTCATTCTAACGTGACCGATGCATTTTGAGGGGAGGGGGAGAGGAGGGGGTGGGGGGAACAAGGCCAACAGCAAGTCAATGTAAACTAGTCCAAAGCTTGTGGCTGACTCCGGAGAATTCTAATCTGAATGCCATGATGTGTCCTGGCGGCTTCGCTGATTAATTGGTAATGATTTATTTTTGTCACTACCTGAAATTGAATTATTCATGTTTCTCCCACACAGACAGAATCAGCTCACTGCGCTTAAACCAAACTCCAGCTCTCTGATGCTTTCAACAGGATCCTCACTAACATGGCAGCTGCTGTCTCTAAGTGGAGGATTTACATACAGTTTAAATAATCCACTTGAGGAACTGAATATTCTGTTTGTGGAGCAGAGATGCTTTGACTTCTCTGAACACACACAGTTCTAATCACAGATGAAATAGCTGTATCTAACTTTTTTGTGTTTCATAAATAACTCCACAATAGAGCGTTTTTCTTCTTGTTAGCAAACATGTTCTTTTTTCATACTCATAGATAAGACTAGATTCATGTCATTGTCACAAAAACAACATTACATTTTGAGCATCATCGTGATAATAGAGAAAGAGAGAATGACTCTTTAATATAAACCTTTTTTAGTCTCACAGTGGAGAAATGTCATCGTTGCGCACATTACAGCAGTGAACGGAAATAAGAGCACTCAGATTGCACACATCAAAGTCTATTATCTATTATTTAAGATAATAGACAATAAATTTAAGATAAAATAAAATAAGATAAACTCTGGGCTATAATTGCACTTGGTTTTGGAGTATTTACAGATGTCTATATTATACATTAGCAGCGGAGAATATGAATATGAGCAGAATAAACATTTTATTCAGAAAATGTAAAAAAATAAAACCTATACGTGTACCATACAATAAATGTACGTTTTGTTCCCTCAAGGAATAGATAAATAAACGATCATGTTCGAAAGGGAGCAGGAAGAAGTATTATACTTCTGTAACCCCGCCCCCTTTTCTACTTATCGATATAACAAACAAAAAATACATTCCTACTTCCCTTTAACTTAATAGATCAAGATTACCCAAGAAGGTAAACTTAAAAACGACACAAGAAAGTAATCAAAGCTGTATATAAATATTACGATTTTAGAGCGTAGAATAATAGAGTGTATAAAGTGCAGGATGTAAACAGCACGGGGCTAAAAGAGGCAGATTAGAAACACGATAACAGGATGTAAGTGAGGATGTTAGCTTAGACAATGCACGACCAGTTCACAGTTATGGAAGGTATGTAAAATGGAGGATAAGGGGGTCCGTGGGGGTGAGGAGGGGGCCGCTGTTTGTTGAGCAGTCTAACAGCCTGGGGGTAGAAGCTGTCCGGTTGGGGCAGGGACCTGTACCTCCGGACTGTACCTCAGGTGCAGGTGGAAAAGAAAAGATAAGAAAAGGCCCTCTGAGTCTTTTTGACAATATCTTCCATCTGTAAAAGCTGATGTAAAGATGTGACAGGGATCCAACATAAATGCATTAAACTGTTAAAAGCCCGGAGCAAGTTACATGGATTTTATCAGATAGTTTTAAGGCTAAACTTTATTATTCTGGTGGAGACCTTTTTTTCCTTTGCATTTGACCCATCTCCAATGACACTCGGGAAACCTGACAAGAGCAGTTGGGAGATTAGCACATTATTGAGTATATTTGTATAATTGGGATATATTATCCAAACATATTCAATTATGTCCATGTGCTACAATTCTATTTCAGTTGGAGGGCAGGTGCCAATATAACTCTATGCCGGTAAAGACGTATTTTTTAAAATAAATATTGAAATAGAAAATGTTCACTTGTTTCCCCCATATTAAAGTAGTTCAATCTGGCTATAATAATCTTATGTCCATAGTTGATATAAACTGACAATATGCTAAACAATACTAAACAATATGTAGAACAGTCTTTGTTACATAATTATGGATTGACACAGGAATGAAAGAGAAATTTGCTTTAGAATTAGAATTCTGACTTTTGACTGTTACCATGGTTACATGAACAAATCAAAATCTCTCCCCCACAATGTTTAACTATAGGCTTTGGAATGTTGTAATGTCACACAAACGCAACCCATTTCAAATTTTCTCTCAGCAAGACAAAAACACGTCTTCAGACCTGCAGCTGTGCCTTCGCCTCCCTCACTCACATCGAGCATGGCTGAGTACTTACAACACCTCTGGCCTTTGAAAGTGAACATTGAGTTTACTGCGGAAAATAAACACAACCATTTTCTGTTCGGCTTTGACCTTTTATGTTTTTGTGTAAGAAGAACTTAAACATTGGGTTTAGATGTGGATTTACAAAGCAGTCATTGTGCTGTGAGTTCTCTCTGCAGTCACCTCAGGACACTGCTGAGCTCTGTTCTCATTATCAAGTCTCCAAATGACTGTCTGTCTCTGGTGCTCTGTGTCCCAGTCTGAACACAGACTGGAACACAGACTGGAACACATCCAGTCTGTGTCCCAGTCTGTGTCCCAGTCTGTGTTCCAGTCTGTGTTCCAGTCTGTGCTCCAGTCTGTGTCCCAGTCTGTGTTCCAGTCTGTGTCCCAGTCTGTGTCCCAGTCTGTGTTCCAGTCTGTGCTCCAGTCTGTGTTCCAGTCTGTGTTCCAGTCTGTGCTCCAGTCTGTGCTCCAGTCTGTGTCCCAGTCTGTGTTTCAGTCGGTGTCCCAGTCTGTGTTCCAGTCTGTGTCCCAGTCTGTGTCCCAGTCTGTGCTCCAGTCTGTGCTCCAGTCTGTGTTCCAGTCTGTGTCCCAGTCTGTGTTCCAGTCTGTGTCCCAGTCTGTGTCCCAGTCTGTGCTCCAGTCTGTGCTCCAGTCTGTGTCCCAGTCTGTGTTCCAGTCTGTGTCCCAGTCTGTGTTCCAGTCTGTGTCCCAGTCGGTGTTCCAGTCTGTGTTCTAGTCTGTGTTCCAGTCTGTGCTCCAGTCTGTGTTTCAGTCTGTGTTCCAGTCTGTGTCCCAGTCTGTGTTCCAGTCTGTGTCCCAGTCTGTGTTCCAGTCTGTGTCCCAGTCTGTGTCCCAGTCTGTGTTCCAGTCTGTGCTCCAGTCTGTGCTCCAGTCTGTGTCCCAGTCTGTGTTTCAGTCGGTGTTTCAGTCGGTGTTCCAGTCTGTGTCCCAGTCTGTGTCCCAGTCTGTGTCCCAGTCTGTGTTCCAGTCTGTGTTCCAGTCTGTGTCCCAGTCTGTGTCCCAGTCTGTGTTCCAGTCTGTGTTCCAGTCTGTGCTCCAGTCTGTGTCCCAGTCTGTGTTCCAGTCTGTGTCCCAGTCTGTGTCCCAGTCTGTGTTCCAGTCTGTGTTCCAGTCTGTGTTCCAGTCTGTGTCCCAGTCTGTGTTCTAGTCTGTGTTCCAGTCTGTGCTCCAGTCTGTGCTCCAGTCTGTGCTCCAGTCTGTGTCCCAGTCGGTGTTCCAGTCTGTGTTCTAGTCTGTGTTCCAGTCTGTGCTCCAGTCTGTGCTCCAGTCTGTGCTCCAGTCTGTGTTTCAGTCTGTGTTCCAGTCTGTGTCCCAGTCTGTGTTCCAGTCTGTGTCCCAGTCTGTGTCCCAGTCTGTGTTCCAGTCTGTGCTCCAGTCTGTGCTCCAGTCTGTGTCCCAGTCTGTGTTTCAGTCGGTGTTTCAGTCGGTGTTCCAGTCTGTGTCCCAGTCTGTGTCCCAGTCTGTGTCCCAGTCTGTGTTCCAGTCTGTGTTCCAGTCTGTGTCCCAGTCTGTGTTCCAGTCTGTGTTCCAGTCTGTGTTCCAGTCTGTGTTCCAGTCTGTGTTCAAGTCTGTGTCCCAGTCTGTGTTCCAGTCTGTGTCCCAGTCTGTGTTCCAGTCTGTGTTCCAGTCTGTGTCCCAGTCTGTGTCCCAGTCTGTGTTCCAGTCTGTGTTCCAGTCTGTGTCCCAGTCTGTGTTCCAGTCTGTGTTCCAGTCTGTGTCCCAGTCTGTGTTCCAGTCTGTGTCCCAGTCTGTACAGGCACACGGCCTGCGTCTCTGTTGCCAGACTTTGTTAGTAATGTTAAAAAATGAAATGTGTGTTTGTTTATGTTTTGTCTTACAGCTACAGTGGTTCAGTTGGTATTGGCCTTTAGGCCTGAAGGTCATGGGTTCAAGCCCACTGCAAGACAAACTTCACGACTCCCAATGATGTCTGCTGTTGTTGTGTCCTTGGGCAAGACACTTAACCCCACTGTGCCTAAAGCCTCTGCTGAAAGATCAAAGCTCCTCCAGACTCACCACCTGCAGGAGGATCAGCGAGGGACTGCTACAGTACAGACCAAAAGTTTGGACACACCTTCTCATTCAAAGAGTTTTTTTTATTTTCATGATTATGAAAATTGTAGATTCACACTGAAGGCCTCAAAACTATGAATTACCTCATGTGGAATTATGTACGTACTAAAAAAAAAAGTATGAAACAACAGAAAATATGTCTTATATTCTGGGTTCTTCAAAGTAGTACCTTTTGCTCTGATTACTGCTTCACACACTCTTGGCATTCTCTTGATGAGCTTAAAGAAGTAGTGACCTGAAATGGTCTTCAACAGTCTTGAAGGAGTTCCAGAGATGATCAGCACTTGTTGGCCCTTTCGCCTTCACTCTGTGGTCCAGCTCACCCCAAAACCATCTGGATTGGGTTCAGGTCCGGTGACTGTGGAGGCCAGGTCATCTGGCCCAGCACCCTCTCCTCATTGGTCAAATAGCCCTGACACAGCCTGGTGTGGATCTACAGTCAATAGTCATGGAAAGAAAGGACACTCATTGAATGAGAAAGTGTGTCCAAACTTTTGGTCTGTACTGAATGTGTACTGGGTGCACCTCTGACTGCCACCCCCTGACCCAGAAATGGATTAAGGGGAAGAAAATGGATGGATGGATTTTGACATGACAATCAATCTTCAAGAAATAAAACATAAATGTGTGTGCTGGAGCGTTAGATAAGGGGCCAACAGCCTTTATTTGATCATTAATCGTATTGTATCACTTAGAAAGATATGGAATATGAATTTAAAGTCCCCTGTATCATATTGGTCAAATCTGAAAGATTCCCAAATCTATTAAAGATGGCCCAAACCCTCAGAGACGGCCATACAACCCATGTGCCCCTGAAATGAAAACATGGAGCATTCAAACTCTCTTCTCTCTGATCGTTATCGTACATTTGACCCTTCTTTCATCTGTTTGTTTCTACTGCAGGTACCTGATGTGATGTAAGGTATGTTAAAAAGCAGAGTCCTCCCGAGGGGCCTGTGATGTCGCATGCTGCCTGGGTAATGGACTGCTCCGCTGTGTTGGCCGCAGAATTAACCACTGTGAAACGAGCCTCTTCCAACAATACAAGGAGAAGTAAATGAGCCTCAAATCTACAGCCACATATTTGTCTTTGATACTGCTGTTTGGATTTAACTGATTATAGATTTTAATGGGCTACATTTTGACCCAGAAATGGATTAAGGGGCAGAAAATGGATGGATGGATGGATGGACATTTGTCTTTATCTCAAATGACTAAGCAGGCAGTGTAATTCTACTCCTTAACGCTGGTAAAGGTTTGGTTATACACTCATTTGTGCCTTAAGTAATCGTATGGAGAGTCCATACATGTGTTGGTAATATTTATGCGCTCTGCATGTTTTGAGAGCTGTATTAAGAGTGCGGTGCAAGTCTGACATTTTTTATCGTCTGAGAGAAAGAGGCTTTTTTGAAATGACAAGCTAATGTATGAGCTGTCAAGGGTAAACGTTTCAACTAAAACACGACAAATATGTTGTGGAAAACATTATTTAACCATACTAGAGGCGTAGTTTTAAAATAGTAACTCATAAAAATTGCATTAATGAATTTCTTGCTATATCATCTATTCTGTTATTTTGAGGATGTGAAGCTTACTGCGGTTGTGTGTTTAATTCCTGAGATGGCCCAGCCTTTCTCTGTGTAGATTTTGCATGTTCTCCTCGTGCCTCGGTTTCCCCCACCACCTAAAACATTCAGTATCGGTCAAATCCTCCAGCAAAGATCAACCTGACTAAACCGAGGTGGGCCCCAGGATGCGCCTTTACTAAAATACAGAGGGCAGATTTTCATTGCAAACACAGCCATATGATTGTAAAAATCTCATTTCACCTGAGAAATTGGGATAAACTAGTTTATGTGCACTACTTTTGAAAACTGTGAATATAGAGCCACAATTACATCATCACACTGAGACAGGAGGAGCTTTTAGGCCGAAGGGCTGAGAGTATATTTGTGTCAGACAATCTTGACATTAGCGTGGATGGATCTAAAATCCACTCCAGGTCTGTGACGGAAACAATTCTGGAACATGGTTAAAGGCTCAATAAGGTCGATTTTTCATTATATTTCTCCTTGAACCTTAGACCATGTGACTAATTCCGACATCACCTCTAAACTAAACTGTCGGTGATGAAACAGCGCTGTGGTGAATGGACTCATGTCCAGACCAGATCAAGCGTGACGTTCCTTAAGATCACCACTTACTACTTCCTTCCTTTTCATTTGTACTTATAAGAGGTGACAAAATAATCTTTTTTGTTTCGAGAGCAAAAATGCCTTCATGAGTGCTGCGGGGAATGCACTGATATGAAGAATGCACATATAAAAGATCTCATTTCAGAGTGGAGAATTTGCAAGAAAAGGTCATCGTCAGCGTCTGGATGAAGACTGCCCCTGCACAAGTGCTTCAAATGTTACAATCCAAATGTGGAAGGAGGGTGGTTTACCCGCTGTGCAAACAGAAAAATTAAAAGAGCATTCATAAAAGACACTGACTCTGTTAGAGGGCTGCGCCAACACAAATACATTGGATTTCAGTACATAACCCAGTTGTTTTGTCAGGTCGGGTATTGGTTTGATGATATTGGTTCAGTTGATATCATGAGTAGGTCTTTATTTTGATTCAATATGTTTACTGAAAAGTATTTACCACGGACCATTTATTAGCAGTGAATTGACAAAGAACTGACCTCACCCATAATGTTAGCCGTAACCCTTTATTGTTAACTCCTCAAAGAAGGCGATGTAGTTTTTTCTTGTTTTAATTTTCTAAGATGAAGTAGCATACTTTTTGTATGTCTCTTTTCTTTTATTTTTTTGATTATGGGCCTTTACCAATTGGTTGAGATGCAGCTTGATGATAAAAGTGCTTAAAACCAAGTGATACAGATGTGAGGTAGATTTCAGTTCAAGTAAAAAAGTGATTCCACAAAATGGTTGAGGAAACCATTAAAGGGTTAATTCAGAACAGATTGTTTGACCAGGGAAGTGGAGCCAAATTTATGCAAATATTCTTGGTAACCACAGCCTACAGTAGTTACTGAGCGCCAATCAGGAGTGGCGCCGGTCTGTCCCTGCTCACACTATTCGCTGGCCAAAGAAGACCCCAATTGGTCAATCAATATTGCTCACATCTGGATTTACAAAGGCAATATCACAACATATAAACACAAGGATGAGGAGCGAGATACATTAACTCTTCAATTTAAGTCAATTAGAGCCAGAGCAAAACTTTGTTCATGGGCACTTCCCCATTTGGCTTCATTGAGATCGGGAAACCTCAAAACTTTACAACAGGGGTGCTCACACTTTTTCAGCATGCGAGCTACTTATAAAAGGATCAAGTCAAAATGATCTACCTACTACAAAAATGCAAATCATATATTTATTTCAAAAAATATTCTTTATATCTACAATGTATGTTTATGTACATGCAAAACCGCATGAGCCAATATAGCACAACAAAACACAATTACCTATGTACATTTTTTGTCATTACCCGAGTTTACTCTTATGATTTGCACTGAATTGAATCAACCAGGGATGCATAGTCCAGAAAATTGGTGGTAACTCGCTGACAAGTTTGTCGTGGTTGAGCTTTCCTGCACTGAGCGCGGTTGTTTGCGCATGTGCAGTCACCTAAGTGTCAGTAAAACATTACTGAGTAAAACACAGATGTCATTTGACTGTGGTGCCATGTCCATGTGCCATGCCTGGTTTTTTTAAATCCAAATATTTCCCCTCCTCAGTTTATAAAATAATTTGCATCCACACATCTGTGTTATCAATCACATTCGTAACATTCCAAACATGTGCGTCTCTTACGTCCTGTCCTGCGTTGGGGAAAAACACAGAAGTGGGCGGAGCTTTGATGCAGACGCCGGTAACGGCACTTTTACAGTCATAGAAGACACTCAGAGTAAAGACGTATGTTTACAAGCACTGACCCCGTCCTCAGCCCTGGTTTAGTCCTGGTTTAGTCCTGGTTTGGTTGTTTTCGAGCGTGCTGCGAGCATCTCACAGCGGACAGTTTTTAAGGTAGTATGATCCATGCTTCAGTGATCAGAGGAATTTAGGGGGGTACTGTGGCGTGCGAGAACGCAAAACTCCGATTATCTCTGTCTACACACAAATGCACGGAGTTTTCAAAAATCTCCACTTTGCCCGGAGTTTTTTGTATATATTAGTTTAGAATGTGTAATTTTTTATTTATTTAATGCGATCTACCAATACTACCTTTGCGATCGACTGGTAGATCGCGATCGACGTATTGAGCACCCCTGGTTTACAACATCATGAGTTAGCATTGTTCGTCTGTTACTAAACAAATCCACAGCTAGCTTAAAACAACTGCACAGATTTATAACAAGTTAGCTGAGGAAATGCGTAACACTTTAGATTAACCCTCACTAATTAACAGGTTATTAAGTGCTAATTAGTGTAACCTAACCCAAGCCCTATGGATGTTGAATAAGGCCATGTAGAGTAAGGACTAATAAGTGCTTAATAAATACCCATTAACAACAAACAACAAAACATTATGAAACTAATGATCACTTCTAATATCTAAAATGATCAAATCTAGTATAACCTTTAACTTTGTGTTCAAATAAATGAACACATTTTAAAAAACACTTAAATATCTGTTAATTAGTGAGCGCTAAACTATAATTTGACCAAATTGTGTCTTTCTAAAATGTGTAATTCATGTTTCACCTCTGTACGGTTGTTACTACTTACGACTGTTATCACTGAAAAAAACTTTTGCCAAAACACATTTGACATTTTTGTTCCCGTTGCAATTGTAAGCAGATAATCCAATTAAAGAGGCATTTGTGAGTGTGAGGAAACGTGTTTTGGAATCACACATCCTCAACTTCTTTGTCTTTTAGCACTCGTATAAGAAAAGGTGCTTCTCACACTTTATGTCTTGCCACATTATTATTTGCAATAGGTCGGATTTGAAGTATGGGTCACGGCTATAATTCTAGCTTGAATATAAATATGAATGGAGCGGTGTGGAGGAGAGGACATTAACCCTGCGTGCGCTCCTCCGGGGACAATGTTGCATTGATTAATAATAGATGTAGTGAACACTTAACATGGGACTCTAGAGGAAGTGGACTTTATATATATATGATGAATGGAGGCCCACGTGAAGAGGCTGACTTAAGTCTACGTCGTTTTGATAAGTATTAACGCACTTTTGTTAGATCTATAGCAGGGGTCTCCAACCTGTGGCTCGGGGGCTATACCAGTAGCTCGCCAGCCCCTTTCAGGTACAGTAGCTCCCCATAGGATTTAGAATTCAACAAATGATCTTGAATGAATACATTTTTAGTCATGACCTATCTATTATCAGTATAAATATAGGGTTTTATAGTATTTTAGTATATTTATGTGTTCTCTTTTTGTTTTATCCCAATTATTAATTTTTTTTTTCTTTTTACGACTGCAATAAGGAGTAGCTCTCTGCCTCTTATGTTGTATAAAAGTAGCTCTCCGGCTGAAAAATGTTGGAGACCCCTGATCTATAGGCACTGAACTTGAAAAATATGTGAAAGGTTTCACGAGGCAAGGCAAGTTTATTCGTCAGTTTGTACAGAAGGCGACTCAAAGTGCTTAACAAGGTCATGGTCAAGTTTATTAATAAAGCACATTTTAGAGAAACAGACGGGACTGCCACAAAGTGATTTTCCAGACTTAAAATAAAAAAAAAATACTGGTCCGCTATCTTAAGATTTTCAGTTTTAGCTTGAGTTACATTGAGGCCAGAGCAAAGAAATGTGTCTTTAGCTGTGATTTTAAGCTCTCTACAGACAGGGGCAGCTCTGACACAATAAGGGAGAGGAAAACCAGATAAGAAACATTAAAATCATTCATGGTGTTTAAATTATTAATAATCACAGTGCATTAAAAAGAGTGAAGATACGGTTTTAACCTGGATTTGAACATTGTCAGAGAAAAAG